GTGATCGGGGCTTTTTTCTGAAAAAGACTACTGGGCTGTCTACACTGGCCCTTTTCCGGAACAGTGTTCCGGAATAAGGACTTATGCCTGAGCGGGAGCAGAATAGTTTTTCCGGAATAGCGGCTGATTTTGTACAGTAGAGAGTCGTTGCTTTTCCGGAAATTCAAGGGCCAGTGTAGACAGCTCGCAGCTTATTCCGGAAAAGCGGCTGATTTTCCAGAATAAGTGGCCCAGTGTAGACACAGCCTAACTGTGAGCATGTGATGATCTTTAACTGCCTTATGAACACCTCTAATTGTAACCTACATAACAGGCAGGTCAAAAGACATCCCAACTCTGAACGAGCTACAACAACTCCATAAAAGGGATGGGATGTTTGTTTGATTTAAGAGGGAAAAAAATCAGTTCCTGAGGTTTTATCTGTTTATAGCGGTTTTCCTGATTGTGTGTTCCATGTAAGTGGTTTCAACCACACAACATATTCCACAAGAATAGAAAATTAAGCACTAACATGCTGTGTACTGAACTGGTCCAACAACCCCACAACTTATTCTCTGGATTCTTTCTTCCCACTCATCTGTTTCTCCCTATTCACTTCCTTTGTCCCCCTCCTTGTTATGCTATCTACGCTGGGTTTGACCCAGCAGGCTAAGCTATATGGCCAGCCCTTATACCTGAATGGAACTCCAATAACAAGGGAGTCCATATGATTATAGAGATTTGCCCTCACCAGTCTGCTGAACTGAGATCTTGTTTTTCTTGGGGGCAGGAACCTGCTTTAGTCCATCAGTAAAATGCCTAGCACAGCTGAGTCCTTGAAAACAAATAATTGTAAATGATGATCAGGTGAGCCATTCAGAATATACATAATAGGTTGGGCCTCCCTGATCTGGCATCCTTAGGACCTGATTAGTCCCAGATGAGGGATTTTCTAGACTGGGAAGGTTATAGCTGGCTCCCCTGCTACTGACTGCCCTGAGCTCTGGACCAGTTGCCAGCCTCTTGGCTGACTCCCCCCTTGCCACCAACCTCCTTCCTCGCTTTGCTGGACAGCCCTGTGTGCTGGGCTCTTGGCCGCTGCAGGCAGCGCCCGCTGTGGCACACCAAGCTCCTGGCCCTGTTAGGCAGCCCTGCTATGCTCCTGGCCCCACCAGGCAGCCCCGCTACACTCCTGGTCCCATTGGGCAGTCCTGCTATGGTGTGCTGAGCTCCTGGCCCCTCCAGGCAGCCCCGCTATGGCACTTCAAGATCCTGGCCCCGCCGTGCAGCCCCACTGGGTTGTGCCTGGCTGCCCAGTTGTGGGGACACAAGCAGCCCAGCTGCGGGGAGCCCAGCCACCAGCCCTCCACCAGAATATTCTCTGGTCCTGGAACATCTGTGGTTCTGCCAGACGATGGATGTTGCCAGACCAGGGAATCCCAGATTACAGAGGTTCAACCTTTAGAAGTCTGGTTAGTTATAGCTAGCCATTTCATTACAGCAGGGCTGTGTCTACACTGGCACAATCTTGCGCAAAAGCAGCCGCTCTTGCGCAAAAACCTGCTGCCTGTCTACACTGGATGGCCATTTTAACCATAGGGCTTTCTTGCGCAAGAAAGCCCTATGGTTAAAATGGCCATCAGAGCTTTCTTGCGCAAGAAAGCCCTATGGTTAAAATGGCCATCAGAGCTTTCTTGCGCAAGAAAGCCCTATGGTTAAAATGGCCATCAGAGCTTTCTTGCGCAAGAGAGCGTCTATATTGGCATGGCTGCTCTTGTGCAAAAGCACATCTCTTGCACAAAAGCATATGCCAATGTAGACGCTCTCTTCTGGAAGAGCTTTTGCAGAAGGACTCTTCCGCAAAAGAGTTTTTGCATGAGAACGCGCCAGTGTAGGTGTAGCCGTAGCCCAGGAGTGAACAATAATTTTTGATGAGGGGCCACTCTAAGATTTTGTAAGTGGTTGCGGTGGGCTGGCTGCCCCACACTGGATGAAAAAAGTTCATGCAAGCTAGTAGGAGCTTATACAGAGCCCTGGCCAATGATGGAGAAGTTTTTAAGTAGCCAATCAGGGTGCAGCTTGCTGAGGCAGCCCTGCATAAAAGGAGCTGGTTAGCAGAAACTAGCTAGTTAGGCTTCACCAGAGAAGGTGCAGGGAGAAGCACCTTGGGAGAGCAGTGCTAGGAAAGGAGGCCCTAACCTGATATCTGCCAGGCTACTGGCCTTGCTACAAAGGCCAGGAGGAAGCAAAGGGTCACAGGGGAAGTGGCTCAGGGAACTAGAGGCAGTAGAGGAGGGCAGGACAAGGCTGCTGCCAGAGGGTCCCTGGGTCAGGACACAGTAGTGGGTGGACCTGGGTCCCCCTTTCACTGTGTCTAGCCACCACTGATGTGTGGCCTGGAAGGACTGTGGCTTGCCCCTGAGGTGAGGTGCTAGACTGAGGCTGCAGTTGGACATGGTGGCAGGTGCTAGGCTAAGGATGTCTGGTAACATCTGCTCCATAAGGGGGAGGAGAGACCACTTTAGTGGGCACTGCCAGAGTAGTGTGTCCCAAAGAGGATACTGTGGTGTGGGAGTAATGTGGGTCCAGCGTTCGCACGTGGACAAAGTGCAGTGACGGGTAAGACACCAGCTGGAGGGAGAGGCCCTGTGGAGAACAGAGCTAACTGCTAGTGCTAAGAGCAGGAGGCACTGCAATGGTGAGTTGACCCTGTGATAGTGGTAAATGGCCTTGCTTTTCCTCCCTGGTGTGTGGCACGGAGGTGTTTGAAGCAGCCAGCTGCTTTGAGCAGTATGAGGTTGCCTAAGAGTCCTGCTGAGGCAGGCCAGATCCAGCCTGTGGACTATATCTTGTAACGTAGGGGCCAGCAGAATAGTGACTAAAGAAGCTCTGTGTTAGAGGGAGAATGTCACAATTACATTGCACAAGTGAAACTGAGATGAATCTGCCCTTTTATATTGGTCTATGAGAATCCTACACAAGCACACACAGCTCTTTGGGGCAGGGACTGTGTTTGTTTGTACAGCACCTACCATAATAGTCATAGCCCATGAGCAGGGCTCCTAGGTGCCATAGTAAAAACTCCTAATGTTGTTGTAAAACAGCAGTAATATGTTTGAACTCCTGAGCTGTAAAGTGAAATCTGAGAAACTGTGGGACAGACTTTTTTAAAAGAACATGACAACAAAGATTGTGTTGAATCCTATTCCATACACACATACAAACACTAAATGGGGAGTGACAAGCAAAGCGGTTAGACTTGTGTATTTATCAGTTAGTAGTAGGAGCTTCCACAAAGACATGCACACGAGGAAACTGAACCTGAAATGGCTCAGTTTAAATGTAGACAATGTGCCTTTGCTTTAACAAAGAAGCACTTTTTATCTCTAAGATTTATATAACAAACATTTTCCCACTGAAGTGGGATACACATTACACATTGAAATATTCAGCTTTAAAATTGTTACACATCAGTTTTCCATGATTTTTGTGCACTTCAAACTGAGGGAGTGGTTAATGAGTAGACTCCAGTGTTTCATAATATTTCTAATACTACAGTATCCCAAATATCAACTGCTGAGTTAAAATATAGACTTCTGTGATTCTTGGGCCCCAAACTCTCAATACATCCTTGCAAAACTGGCTTCATGCTTTACAAAATTCTTACCCTTAAAAAAATTACTATGGTTGTATAGCGCCCCCCCCCTCCCATATTGTTGTCATTAATGTAAATGGTGCTTTCATGCGTGGATCATTATTCTAGAATACTGTATGTATTTACGGGGCACAGACTTCATGGACAAAGTCATTTCCCAATACTCATTCAGGGCAAAACTGTCATCTCAGCTGGTACCTTGTTTGTAGCCCTTGC